CATATTCTTACGACATTACAAAGTTTGAGGGATATATAAGAAGTTGATGCACTGTGGCCTGTTAGCATTGTATGTAACTTCATACAAGGCCTCTGAGCATCTGCCTGCCACTGTTACTACAAAGGAGAATGCATCACTTTCCTTCTTCCAGGCTCTCTCATTTATGCGTAACCTCGGAGATTGAGCTGGTTTGTGTACATGTCTGTTAGTGTGCACACATCGTGGTAATCACACACATTTTTCACACCTGCCTTCTGTCATCAGTGAAGTCATCGCCTAATCCTACTTCTGTTGTAAACAAATAGTTTCTGAGTGACTTTTTCTCAGCCTGCAATACATGCTGCTGGATAAAGTGATCAATATGTCTGTCCATTAATCTGTTCTGCTGGAATCAATTTGTTTCTGGAGCAGAACTCAAAAACCATCTTTTTCATAATACTTAACAATTAAGTGAATATGGTAGGGAAGTGATGCTATAAGTCTTGATATGTTGGCTTTGCCTGCAGGATGTCATCTGCTGATGACTTGTGTCACCTGAGTGAAAGTCACTGCTTAAGTCACCATAAGTCTGCACTTTTACATATTAAAATGTGTTCCTGGAGTGATTTGCATTTGGATCGGATAGGTTTTATTTATTTCATTTTACATGTCAAGATCTCATCCTGTTTGAAAAGGTTAATCTCTCCGATCCACACTACCACAGTGACTTTTTTTTAACTGCACTAAACACATCTGTATTCTGTCCAGTTGAGCTGTGTGTGGCAACAGCATAAAAACACACCAAATGTGAATTTCAGTTTGACTTTTCTGTCTGTCTTTGCCATGGTAGACTAATAGTGTATTTTAAGGCAATCAAACACATCCATACATCCCTGTGCCATGTGTTTTGACGGGTGGAATTTGGCACCACTCTGAATTTGGAGAAATTCCCTGAAAAACAGAGAGGGACACAAAGGAAATGTTGGTTAATGATCTAATGGCCACTCAGTCTTCCACATAACGTACATGAATGTTGAGCTTTCAGCATCTCTACTGGCTCTCAAATCCCAGATCACCTACAAACTCCTCCTGCTCACTTACCAATCCCTCCAAGGCCTCGCTCTGCAATTCATATTTGACCTACTTCGACCCTTCGACCCATCCAGGAATTTGCAATCCTTTGACCGAAGTCTGCTCACCATCCCCAACACCAGACTGCGGAATTTTGGACTCTGAGCTTTTAGCCTGGCGGCACCCACCCTCTGGGATGCTCTGCCAATTGAGATTTGCAATGCCTCATCCCCAGTGAAATTCAACTACTCAAAACTTGTCTTTTGAAAATGCATAATACCTGATCTGATACAATCTGTCTTTGTCTCTGTCACCTTAATATGTTCTTCCCCCTCAAATATATAAACCTTAACCCTAACTCTTAAAATGTGCTTTAACATTTTATATTATTATTAAAAGAATTATTCAATATTCACAGTCGGTGAGATCACAGCAGGTTTTAGTGAAAGCATTGAAGATGCCACACTGTGTACTCTTGCATAAACTAGTAGTTTTTGAACTGTTCACTATATGGACCAAACAGTCCATATTTGGTGGAAAGCACTGATGCAGTTAAAGCATATTCTTTAAAGAATTGACTGTAG